GCTAAATATTATATCAAAACTACTGGTTATTCTGTTATTATATAGAAAGATGGACAATGCTATTACAATGGAGATAATACTTATTGTAAATATGTTGAAGAAGGAGATAATATACAATCATACAAATCGTCCACATGCAGTAATTGGATTAAAGATGCAGTTATCTCAAAAGGAGTAAATGCAATGGTACAAGATGATTTACCAGAGTATTATTACATGTATTATGAATACAAGGATGCCAAAGATTGTATTTTCAGTGAAAAAGATGCACATCCAATTGAGTACCCATATTCTGAATGTACCCAAATGGGTGATACAAATTCATAAAAGGCCAGTATAGCGGATGGAAAAGTTACCACTGCTTATTACGATACAAAAGATTGCTCAGGAACTGCAATTAAAGAATATGAACCAGTCGAACTTGAAAAATGTTTATCAAATAATGGATTATCATACGCTATGTATTCGGAAGGCGAGTTTGAAGTATTTGTCATGCTTGATTTATTTATTGCATGCTTGCTCTAAATAATTGCTAATCAGTTTTTTGGTATATTATAATACACATGGTATAAAAAATAATATTTTAATCATCAAAGTTTGTTTTTCAGTAAAAATGGGTATAAAAAAATCAAAAATTTACATTTAAACACTTATTAAAATTCGAACATAGAAATGTTTGTTTATTATATTATTTCACATTAATAAATGCTTGAATTGAAAAACTAAAAACAAAAAATGACAAGTAGATCGGGGATGCATACAATAAAGTGTTATTCAATGGCGACTAATATCATTGTTCGAAACTATCAAGATATACTTCTGATATATTTTATTATGTTTAAGAACACGTATCTCAAAAATAACCATTTCGGTAATTAAAAATGACGTTTTTACGATGAAGAGGAAAAGGATCAAAAAAATGAGAAGATGTAGAAAACAAATCATTTAATTAATTTCTTTGTGATTAACACGTATAAAACCGAAATATGTAAAAAAACAAGTTTATCTTATTTTCTTTTACCAAATAACAATTTTGCCAATAAGTATAATTAATAAAAAATATTTTTTGTGTGATTTTTCGGAATTGGTTAACCCTTCGAATTCCAGAAAAATAGGTAATATAACATACTTATATAACTGTTTATGGATGTTTTCATTAACTGAAATGTGTGTAAAAACAACTGATATTTATACTTTAATTCAAATTTGTCAATTCTAATTTGATGTCATGTTTTTAACAACATAAAAGTTTGCAAGTTTTATTTATTTTTGATTTTTAAAAAAATCTCTTTAACACGAAAACACATATGATTATAATTATATACATGTTATAATTAATACGGAATGATACATTTTGATAAATTCTTCCTGTAACATTTTAATTGATACGTTGATATTATTAAAATACAATTTAATAATTATGTATATTTTTTTAACAAAAAAGCGAAAACGACAGTTTAGTATAATTTTTAAAGTAACATATTTCAATCATGTATCGTTGTAAATGAAATGTTTTTTTTGATTGAAAACTGTTGGTTGAAGTCTGAATCAACAATGAATTTAATAAAATTACTCCCAAAGTCAAAAATCACGTTTTCAATATAATTTTAAGTTTAAATGCACAAAAGTTACAGTTTAGTGTTTACAAAACATGTTTTTATGACAAATATATATGTTTCATACAATATTATCTTTATGTTTGTTGTATTTATATTTGATTGAACTTTTTGTTGTTTGGTAATTATATTTATTGTTGTGTTTTTGATGTATAAACAGAGCGAAAAGTTGACTTAAAAACGTCAAATTGTTGTTTTGACGTATATTGTATTGTAAGATAATTCTTTTTTGAGTTTCCGATTATTTATAATACATTTATAAATATATTATTATTGTTTAATAATACTTTTTGTTCTTAAAAAATAAACTTTCGAACTTAAAAATACCAGTAGTTCGAGATTTCCACTGGAAACTTGGATTTGAAATTTGTTGAATTTAACACTAAACTTCAACAAAAGTTAAACAGAAATAGACAAAAGGCGCAAAATTGGTATGGTAAAATTATAGTTTTTAACTATAAATTTTATTAATAAATGACCTTCCCACGTTTTTATAAATTTAAATGTTTTTTAAACAAACTTACATTCTAAATCAAAAAAAATTACCAAGAATAAAATATGTAAAAATTTCCATTAATTTATAAAATTGAACAGTCCTGTAAGGGTCAATTCAATTAATTAATTTTTGGTTATGATTTTATTTTAGTTTTTTGTGTTTTTATTCTTAAAAGTTTGGAATACGAACGACCTGAAAAATCAGAATATTTCTCAAGTGATGACGAAGCCGAAGAAAATGTTGACGTTAATTTTGGAGAAGAGATAATATGTCCTCAAAATAGTTATAAAAAACATGTTATTTTTGAACCCCAACACGTATTAGATAATCCTAATAAAATTGTTAAAAATTGGGAAACAATTGATCCAGTTTTTGGGGAAGCAGATTTTTCAAAAATGAACCAAAATTACAGAAAAACAGAAAATATTGGTATTTTTTTCTAAAGAAATTGAATATTTTGAAAAAAATAATAACTCCCGATTTTTTGGACTTGATTGTGGCAGGAACGAATGAAAAAGGCCAATCCTTAGTTAAAAATTGGAAAGTTACAGACGTGGATGAAATAAATTGTTTTATTGGTGTTATGATATATATAGGAGCCATGAAAAACAAAGGCCCAATTTCCCGATTTTGTAGTTCAGAATTCGGGCTTCCTTTCCCAAAAATTGCAATGGATAGAAATCAGTTTTGTGAACTTTTTCGAAGCTTCCGTTGTGACCCCAAAGCAACAAGGGAAGAAAAAAGAAAAGAAATGGTATTTCCAGCTGTAAAAGATTTATTTGAAATATTTTCCCGAAATATTACGCAAATTTCTACTCCGGGTCAGTTAATTTGTGTGGATGAAAGAATTTGTAGTTTCAAAGTGTGTTTTAAAGGAATTTAATGTTGCTGTCAAAAACCAATCAAACCTGGTTTAAAATTTTACTGCATTTGTAACAAATGCAGTAAGCTTTGTGTCGGAATGATTTTGTATGAAGACAAATAAAGAGTCAGAAATCGGGAAAAATGATGAACTA